TACTTATTTTTATATTACATTCATTGTTTTAGTTTTGTTATTTAACTATTTAAAACTATTATTCACTTCAACCGGTTCTCTTAGGCTTCTTAGGCCTCTCATTAGGTCCAAACTCCAGCGGGTCGGAACTCGGAAGGTCCAAACTATTTAAAATTATTATTCTCTTTAACTGGTTCAACATATTTATATTGTAATTTCCAACGTTGAATGTCTTTTTGCCAAAAAAATTAGTTGTAATTTGTAAGAATCTTTTCAAAGACTAGAAACCGCTAAATGACAAGAACCGAACTGTTAAGAACGGTTCGGTTCCTTATCAATTCTATAAAATAATTTATAAGAATCGAACCGTTAGTAAAATTTCATATTTTCAAACTATTACACATATTTTGCCTAGGAACCGAATATATGCCGGCCAGCAGCCAGCTAGCCTATAGTTTGTTCTGAGCCAAAAAACCGCGGTTCTTCGAAGGTAACTGCTGGATTGATTCCTTCATCATAAATCCATTATCCTCTCTTCCTCTTTATCCGCTTTAGGGGGTGTTTGGATCCGCTTTTAAAAGTGATTCTGCTCTCCCAAGGAGCAGTTTGAAGCAGAAGCAGTTTAACAAGTGTTTGGATCTGATTAAAAAACTTCTATTAGAAAGGGTGTAGAATCAGTTTGGGAGAAGTTGGGTAGTAGCAACTTCTCAAAATTAGCTTCTGATTCTCTTATTTCTATTCCTAAAATAACCTTAGCACACTTTAGGAACACAACACAACGCAAATCAACGATCCAACCTAGGTATTCTTCTCCCTTCAGAGCTTCTCTTCTCCAACCATCGAGGCGACGCAACCCTTTAGGCCGGTGCTTGGATTCTCCGGCGAGAGCTTCTCCGACCACCATCTCTGGGTGGCGCGACTTGGCTTCTCCGGCTTCTCCAGCTACTTTTCTTCTCCGGCTTCTCCAGCTACTTTTCTTCTCCGGCTTCTCCAGCGACTTGTCTTCTCCGGCTTCTCCAGCGACTTGTCTTCTCCAGCGTCCTTGTCTTCCACTCTAAGGTACACTCTGAAGTCTTCCACTCTAAGGTACACTCTGAACTTGTGAGTTTGTTGATTTGCTTGTTTATGTGATTATTATTCCAATTATTGTGTTTGTTCTTCGATTTCTTTTGCAAATAATCTATTTGGGTTAGTTTTTTTTTTTTTTTTGCATCAACAAACCACAGTAATGATTTGCTTAAATTTATCTAGTGAAGTAGCACTTACGGTCTGTAAGTTACAGAAGCAATAGAGAGAAAACCAAACATGTAAAATTCTCATCCATTCATCTCAACCATATTTTCCATTAAAATAATTATTCAAGCTATCAAAACCTTTGCTGGAGTGCATCACTTTGTAACCTTGTAACTTTGTGATGTCGGACAACTTACTTGTGATTTCACCGTTTTTTGCTTTCATCTTCTAGTGAGATTTATTTCTTTGGAAGTGTTGAATGATTTTGAGTTAACTATGAAATTATTCATGAAGGATGCAATATATATCACTAGTTTTGTGTCATATTGATAATTCACATACTGTAATGGGAAAGGTAATCTCATTTTATTTTCACAATGATAAATTCAGAGCTGTGAAGTATAATTTTGAAATTACATTGCTAATAGTATGTTAAATTCAGGTATGGAATCTCATGAGGTTAGTTTTATAAACTGCAGTTTTTTACTAGGTGCAGTTTTATTTACTAGCTGCAGTCTGTTTTAGAACATGCAGTTTTAAAGTCGATTTTTGTTAACAGGAGGATCCTGAATGTGCCAAACTCAAGGGCAAGAATCTGGAAATCTATCAAGTTTACTATGAACCTCTGTTTAGAGATAGAGTTGCAACTGGTGAAAATGCTAGGGATGCAAATTATTATACTGTTGGCGTTGAAGACAATGCCCAATCGTTTGAAGATGAAGATGATGAACCAGAAAATGAAGAGTCTGTCTCTTTAACTTTTCCACCTCCTAGCTATCATAAAAGGCATTCAAGTTCTGGCTCTTCTCGAGCAAAAAAGGGTAAATCTTCTGCAGCCTCTAAGTTTGAAGACAAGCTAGACAAGGTAATTGAGATAATGGGATCAAGAAGCTCAGTTACCTCCGCACCACCGATAAGCAATGTACCATCACTTGAAGAATGTGTTGCTATGATTAGTGAATTTCCTGGTTATGAACCTGGTACACTAGCATATTGTGATGCCATCCAATTGTTCTGGAAGAAAGAAGCGAGACAGAGTATAATGCTTCCACCTACTCTAAATTTAGAGACGAAGAAAGTACTCCTTGATAGTCTGATAAAAAATCTGAAGGAGTGAGAGTGTTTTATCTTTTTAATGATTGTCTTGAATTGAAGATTATGTTATTTTCTAAGCTTGTTGAGAACAATGTTTAAGTATGTTGTTGTTATGTTGCCTAAGTATGCTATTTCCTTGTTTGAGAACACTGTTTAGGAATGCATAAGGTTGTTTGATAATATTGTTTAACCTTGTTATTGTTTTGAAGTATTTATTGTGATTTCATTATTTCAGATTTATTTTTGCTTTTTCACAATGGGTAAGTGGAAAATCAGTTTTCACAACGAGGAAGAATCTGACAACGAAACTAAGGAGGATGATAATCATGAAATTGATATTTTGTGTGGTATTGTTGTCTCTGGCATATTATTTGGGCAAAGCTTGCATGGACAAAGGCCGCTTCCTTGCCGTACATCTGCTCGTTCAGGAGCTATGTTTATCACAGAAGTTTTACAAGGTCACCCTATTCGATGCTATCAAGACTTTAGGCTACACAAAGAAGTATTTATTAGTCTATGTGAGGATCTTAAGTGTCATTACGGTTTTGTTGAGTCAAGAGAACTATCCATTGAAGAATCCTTGGGTATTTTCTTGATGACATTAGCTCATGGTGTGGGAAATAGGTTGGTTCAAGAGACTTTTAATCATTCCGGTGAGACAATACACCGACACTTTCACTTGATTCTTCAAGCCGTGTGTAGACTTTCAATGGACATAATTCAACCCAACAATAGCTACAATGAAGAATGTCCATCTCATATACGTCGCAACTCACGATATTGGCCATATTTCAAGGTGAGTATTATTTTATTTATGTGTAATAAATCATAAAATGGTGTTGAGTATTTCTTGATATATTATTTCATATAGAATTGCATAGGGGCTATTGATGGAACTCATGTGAAGGCTAGTGTTAAAGAGAGTGAGAAAACAAAATGGATTGGGAGGAAAGGTTACCCAACACAAAATGTGTTGGCGGTTTGTGACTTCAACATGTGTTTCACATATGTGTTGGCGGGATGGGAAGGATCCGCACATGATACAAGAATATTTACCGACACAATACGAAAGCAAGATGGAAAGTTCCCTCATCCTAGTGGAGGTAACAAGTCATACAAGTAAAGAACTATTTTCCCTTTTTGAAATACTAAAACTCTTCTTTTCTTCTTATAGATAAATATTATCTAGTTGATGCGGGATATCCAAACACTAAGGGCTATCTTGCACCTTATAAGGGAACACATATAAGGTATCACTTTCAAGATTTTCGGAGAGGCAAAACAAGAGGAGCACGTACTCCAAAGGGAACACAAGAGAGATTCAACTACATACACTCATCTTTGCGCAATGTGATTGAGAGGACTTTTGGAGTTTGGAAAGCAAGGTGGTCTATACTCAAAGACATGCATGTCAACTACACTATTGGTACTCAAATCGACATTATTGTCGCATCCATGGCAATACACAACTACATTAGAATCAAAAGTATTCAAGATGATGCTTTCTTAGTTGCTCAAAATGAAGCATATGACCCACATGAAGGAGTTGATCCTCAAGATGCTCCATTCACACAAGGGGAGGCATCATCAAGTCAAAGAAATGAAGATGTGGTTCACATGAATGCTATTAGAAATACAATAGCAAATGCGATCAATGATAACTACCGTTAGTTTTTATTTTGGTGAAAGATACTTTAAAACTTTCATGCATTGACAACGTTTTTTGCACAAGTGCATGCGTAGTATGTATTTATGTGAAGACTCTACTGTTTTTGATGGTTTAAATTATGATTATATGATAGCTATTTATTGCCGTTGATGTTAATGTTCTCAACAGATGGTGGTATCATAATGGAATAACCTAAATTCAAAGCCTAGATCCGAATGAAAACTAATTAACATTTCCAAAACCAAAATGAAAATTCAGTAGGTAAAAAGAAATCAAACCTTAATCAATTTTCAAAATCACCACATAAGCATTTCAGGCATAGCTATTTGGCGTTGCAGCATTCAGGATTCAAAATTAATTAGTTCTAAATAATTTCAAAATTAAAGTTGTGATTTAATTATATTTTTAGATATATTTAAAAAGTAACTACAATATTTTACGTATAAAAATTTAATGCTTTAATATTTAGAAAAATATAAAATTACATAAAGTTATTATTAATTGTATTTGGAGTTTGGACCATGTAATTAGACTTAAGAGTCTTATAGTGGACAAAATCGTATGGTGTCATAATTAAATACAAAGAGTTATTATTATTACTGACTTGTAAGAAATGAGAAATGTGAAACATTATAACCGGATCATTTGTAACTGGAAAAAATAGGAAATTAAAAACATAAAATAATACGTAAGATTTTAGTGATGTGAATAAAAATGATTAATTGTACACGTGATTAGTCATTACACTTACTAATCAACTTCCCAGCCATTAAAAAAGAATTCAAGCCTAATCAGGGGAGAAATAATGCCCTTTTGGTAAATTTACACAAAAATCAGTTTGCAGAAGCAGCTTATCCAAACACTCTAAACTGATTCTCTATTAGATACAGCAGAATCAATACCAAACACTTCAGACAGAATCACTTTTCCATACAGCAGTAAATTCTGATTCTGCTTCTCACTTAAAAATAGAAGCAGAAGCAGAATCAGTTCCAAACACCCCCTTGGTCTTTTCTCTGATAAAAACATTACGCGTTCAAAGTACTGACGATCAATCAAACTGAGCAAACCTTAATGTACGTGTAATTTTTTAGCATATTTATTAATCGGGTTTCTGGACTGATCTTTCTTCGACTCTGCATATATCTCGAGTTCTTTGCGCTGTTTTACAGAGGAAGAGAGGGGGAGGGAGATGGGGAGACTGTTTGTTGTGAATCTCGAGGGGAAAATCTATAGCTGTAAGCATTGTGGAACACATCTTGCTCTTTCTGAGCATGTAGAGTCCAAGGTTAATTGGTCTCTTCCATAATCTATCAAAAATACAAACATTTTTCTCTAAACCTGACACTTTCTATGCATTTTCACTTTGGTTTTGTTTAATTCTGAGCGAGTGGTAGCTGATGGTTTATTTATCAGGGATTGACTTTAAATTCCATGCAACTTAATATGTTAGGATTACTTCAACTATGATGATCAGTGATTTTATGAATCACTTAACTGGCAGGAGAACAAAATAGCATCCATTTTAGGCAGTTAGTTTTCTTTTATGCTATGTGTGGACTTCGGATAAGGTCTTGTGTGGATTGGCTTCATTTACCCTATTCTTGAGATGTGAGGGAATTCATGTCCTCAAACTTGATTTAATGACCATAGTCAGGTCCGGTCCTAGGGGGCGGGCAACAGGGCTACCCTCCATAAAATCCAGGAGTATATCCTGATTTTGCTCATAGCAAATCCGGGGAGAGTATTCTACGTTTTGGGTTGATGTTTTTTTTTGCGGAGAAGAATAGGGATGAACATTAAAGAAGATCTTCTCAAGATGTTCTTGAATCTGATTGGTGGTTCTGTGCTTATAAGTTATAACCCCATTTTCATATATATAAGTAGGAGTGATGTAATATTTATGGGATGGAATTTCTTGTCTTTTGTAAACATAATAACAAACTATAGTTTCTCTCCACTTACCTTTTTAATCATTTTAATTTAGGGCCCATCTGGTAAGGGTTTTTTTGGGCTGAAATGGCTGAACCTTACTGACTGAGATGAAATTACTACTAGGAAAAACATCTTGTAACATCCATTTCAGCTGAGGGAGTCTATGCTAAACTACTCATTCTTGTATTCTTCAACAAACAGAATAAGCCGGATAAGGCTACCAAACTGAGGCTTAGGGCCTGTTCGGTAAGGATTATTTGGCTGAAATGGTTTATTCTGCCGATATGAAAAAGCATTTGGTAAAATGGCTTTCTGCCAAATAATTAAATAACTCAGGTGATACTTATTCTGCTTATGTGATTATTCTCCCTATAAATAGGATAAGACACCAAACGTAGTCTTAATCTTATACGGAGTAGTTATAATGACTCTCAGTCTACATAATGCAAAACACCCTCAACTTTGTTTGACATCTTGGTTTTTGTGCTGACAAGTTGTGTGTTATACTTTTATTTTCTTAGTCTTTTTTGTTGTTGTTGCTTTATGTTATTTCATTCAGGCCTTCCAGTGCAAACATGGAAAGGCTTACCTCTTCAGACAGGTGTAAGTATCTCTTGATACTGCACTCAATCTGCCAATTATTTACTTCTTGATTGCAGATTTGCACCCATAGTGGATGAATGCTCTAATGTGATATTTCTGCAATTTTAAAAATGATGCGATGGCATATATATGATTTTTTGGGAAGAAAACTCATGTACTCCCTCAAGGCCATCATGAAATAATAGTCCATAAGGAACTACCTTCGGTTATAAATAAATTGACATCTAGAGAGTAGAAACCCAACACAATAAAACATTATAAAATTTTGTATTTGTCCTATTATATAATATATAGTAGTATGAATCTAGTTTAGGGGATTGGAAGTTTCATGAAAATTTTCGGGGAATGCTACTAATTTGATAGAAGTTCCCTTTAAGTGATGGTGTGTGAGCTGCTCTGCTTCTTCTTGAAGGGTGATTCCGCCTTTCTATATGACTGTATCTTACTCTATTAGTATGAGATTGTGTGTTCCCTCTAACATGAAAATGAATGAGAGCGGATGATCGGGACCCACGCAGAATAGGCTATTAATAAAAATATTAAAGAGTAGTATAAATAGGAGGAGAGTGAAGAATAAGGGGCAGGCAGAATCAGTTGGATTTGGGCTGGGGTCTAGGAGAGAGACACTCTCGAAATGCTCTCTATTTTCTTCTTTTTCCTTCTTGCGCTGTTTAACAGTCTCCTTTGTATGCTGTTTTCCTGATATAGTTTAAGGAATTCTGAGATCTTATCAATATACTTCTAATATTCACCTACATTTGTTGAGTTCCTAAGAGAGGCAATCTTTATTAACACATACAATTTTAAAATTATGTCATGCCATATAATGGTTATTACAACAACAACAACAACATTACCTCATTCGCAAAGGCTCCCATCTACGGTGGGATAAGGGAGGTCGAATGTACGAGCCTTACCCCTATACTAAAGCACAGAGAGACTGTTTCCAGATGACCCATGATGAAAATCGCGTTAAAAATTGCATGAACTGACTTCTTCTTCATAACAAAGAAACACAGACAGTTTAGTGAGTCATTTTGCTTTATTCTATCATATTCTCAAACCAAAAAATAGTAAGGTTTTTGGCTCCATTGGAAATGATGGAAATAGGTATTGTCTATTTCCATCAAGTAATGGAAACCATATAATGGTTGTTGTGGAAGCAAAATCATTTACCCCTTAATGAAATAATAGTCAGTTTTTTTTTTGCAATTATAATAGTCAGTTAAGAAATTATAATTTGCTAAAAAAATACTACGTAATGGTTACCGTTCATTCAAAAACTCAATACAATAAAACATAATAAAACTTTGCCCTTCTATACTATTAGTAAGGGATTGTACATTATATAAAATTTAAAGATATATGTATATTGTGGATTATTATTTGATATGTGTGTACTAGTAAGTTGAAATTTGAATTGGCAGAGTTAATATAATTTCCGGGAAGAATGAAGACAGAATGATGACGACAGGATTGCATACTGTCGCAGACATCTTCTGTGTTGGTTGTGGATCAATTGTTGGCTGGAAATATGTGAGTTCAGACCTGGACATTTTTGCATCTCTTTGGGATCCTTTTGTCTCTGGAAAATATTTTCCTTAACTCTTCAAACTATTGTGGAAAATGATTCTCTTTTTTTGTAGGGAAATTTATCGGAATATGACTAAAACTCAATGAGTTTCTCAATCTATAACCTAACTAGTTTTTATACCTTTGTATGACTGAAAATCCAAAAACAAATAGAAAATTCGTTTCTATTTAAATGTTTAATGACAAAAATACCCTTATTTAAAATATGTGCATTGTGCACTAATTTCGTCCAATTAAAATTATTGCACTTTATATTGACGTTAATGCACAACATTAATGCATAACATAAATGCACGACATTTCTGCACATTCAGTAATAATCATTGCACTTCCGTCAAAATTAGTTCTCTTCACATTCACTTTAGGAAATTATTTTTATTTTTTATTTTTTCGATTTAATGATTTTATTATTTCACATCTAATTAAGTATATTGTATTTCAATGCTCAACAAACTTTCTCAATGCACTCATTCATTGCCATGTACAATATTATTAATTGTCATATTCATTGCCTATACTCAACAGTCAATACTTATTGATATGTTCAATGCCAATGTTCAATGTCAATGTTCAATGTCCACAAACCCTAATTTTTTTATTAAACAGAACAGAAAATTACTGGCTTGTCAATTACCGGCCGCACTACCGATCCCAAATTTCATCTCTGCCGTCCATAACACATCTCCATGATTTCGTGGGCATCATATGACTATTCCAAATTATCAAGCTTTATGAATTGATTTCTGTTCCTCCGAAATAGAATTCCATCAACAACAGGCAACAACACAACTTCGGTGTGGCGAAATTCAAATGAATTCTAATAAAACCAAAACATATTCTGACACGATACGGATGAAAAGCCAATCTCCTTTCTATCCTAATAAATGGTGGGATGAGATAAAATCAAGTAGAATTACTTTTCAGTCAAAATTCTATCAAAACGAGTGGTGCCAGAGACAAACGGCGGACACGACTCTATCCACACAGCAACTTTCTCCAGCGATAACAATGGCTACTTCTACTTATGCGGAGAATCATTGAAGCGACCCAGCAATGAAGTGCAGTGCAGTAAACTTTCAATCGGATATACTGGACGGCGGCGGACATCGAGCTATGGGGCGGCGGCGCACGGCAGGGGCGGCGGCGCGCAGCAGGGGCGTGCGGCTGTAGCCGGGTGGATCTATGGAGGTGGAAGAATGGAAACTAGGGTTGGAGAAAAGAGTAGGAGCCTAGGGTTTTATAGATATAACCTAAAGGGTATATTTGTCCACCTAAATTATTTATTTATTTATTTATTACGAATTTTAATTAAATATTATGAATTTTAATATTATTTTGGTAAAAAAACTAGTTAGGTCATAGATTGGAAAAGTGAAGAAGTTTTAGTCATACCTAGGATATAATTGCTTAGTTTTTTTTTTGTGATATTTCACCCAAATAATACATAAAAAGTACTTTTTATCAAGGCTAAAGGGTCAAATAGGTACATGAACTAACTTAAAGTGTTCAATTAGCCCCTTATATAGGAGGTTCTGCCCGGCCGTCGCCAATTGAGGCGGTTCCCGGTGGAATTTTTTGATGAAATTTTTTGAGCATCTTCTTCATTAAGTCTAGTTTACCCATACCAAATTTCAGCTAAAAATTCAACCGGAAAGGCAGTCAAATGATTTTTTGAAGATAACTGCGCAGTTAAACAACGCAACATATTGCGGAAAATCATTTGACTGCCTTCCCGGTTGAATTTTTAGCTGAAATTTGGTATGGATAAACTAGACTTAATGAAGAAGATGCTCAAAAAATTTTATCAAAAAATTCCACCGGGAACGACCCTAATTGGCGACGGCCGGGCAGAACCTCCTATATAAGGGGCTAATTGAACACTTTAAGTTAGTTCATGTACCTATTTGACCCTTTAGCCTTTTATCAAAAACTGCAAATTCTACTTTTTTCAAATCACTCCGTTTTTTCAAACACTGCAACGTCTGCAAGCTTTTACCATTAAGCATTTTTCCAAAACTAATAAAAGCATTACTCAAATAAAAATTAACGAAACGTTGCCTATATTATATATTGAACAACTTGTTTTGGAGGAGAGTATTTTTCACACTCACTCCACCAAAACTTATTTTCTTCAATTAAATGGAGCCTTATTCCTTGTTTTTTTCTTATATCTATAACAAGTGTTACTCATTTACTACTCTCAGGAAACTGCTTATGAGAAGGATCAGAAGTACAAAGAAGGGAAATCCGTCCTTGAAAGGTCACTTGATATACATATACTCCTACACTCCTATGTGTCTATACATACACAAGCATACATGTGTGTATATATGTATATATACAAGTAGGGGAGGTTTCTAGACCCCCTTTAAAATGAGAACCCATTTATAGATGAGAACTTCTAATCAACACCCTTGATTTATGGAATCAAGGTTAGAATTAATAAGGTGGCATTTTTGTAATAACTCTACAATAATTACAAAAAAGACCCCATTTGAATTTTCAATAATTACACAAAGTACCCCATGTGCATCCTACCAATGATTGAATAAAATAAAAAGTTGTGATTAAAAGTTCTCATGATAACAAGTTCTCATTTTAAGATGAGTTCTCACTAGAACCCCCCCATACAAGTATATGTTTATATATATATATGTGGAAATCTTTTTATTTGTCAGGAAGGACTAGCATCAGGTTCAGCCATGAGATTTTATAACTTATATTAGTATATACCCTGCAGGCTGCAGCGTAACTAAAACATAAAATAAAAGAATATCACAATAAATATAAACTCATACGTAGTATATAATAATAACATAAATCACAATTTATTTCTATAATTAATAAACCAAAAGAATTAAAATACATACAATACTTTGAACTCAAATTGAACTTTGGCATATACAGAGCCACCCTTCTAACAATTTTTTGAAATAAAATTTTCAATGATGTCTTCATATTCAACTATTTTCAATATGTCCATCTCACTTGCTATCAAAGCTAATCCATCAAGTTTTTCACGTGTCTTTGTAGAACACACGTAGGATACCAACATCTTGAGTTTAAGATTTTCTTATAATAAAAATTTACAAGCTGTTAATTTTTTGCCCCTGTTCATCGGCTCATTTGTGCACCTAAAGGGCAGGCAGTAACTCACATCCACTGTTGATCTTGCTTCCCTTCATGTTTGAGTCAGTAATCTAAAAGCAGTCCACGGACCATGGTGGATGTGAGTTCATCATGATTGAGACCGTCAGGAAAGACAGCTTCTCCAACCACATGTCATTATTAAAAACACAGTTACACTTGCATATTAAATGCAAGTGAACCAGTTAAATAGATTTCTTCATTTTCAAATGATGAGCAGGTATAAGATTTCCGGCCCCGATGGAAACAACTACTGGATCAATCATGAAGCACATGCCGTAGGAAGTGATGGTGATGATGCGTGATCACCTTTTAGGATCCCATTCCATATTGTTCTTGTATATACAATTTCTCATATCTGATTAGTATCTTTAGCTTGTCAAGTCTCTTGTATACCCCCAAAGGATAACCGTTTTCTGTAAGCTATTCATGATACGTATGAATTTCAACAAGCATTTTATGCATGCTTGAATCAGTTTATACATTCCTAATTAATCAAATTTTCTCACTGTAATGCTAATTTAGTGATAATAACTGTTTACCAGGGTTATTGTTTTCTTTGGTGTTTTTAGCTGTTATTTCGAGAAATAGATCCCGGCACTGGCTTTGGAATTATGTTGAATGAACATTTAGCATTGAATCGAGGCCAAGAATGCAGAACAAGAGTTAGATCGGTTAGTTGTGCATAAAAGGTCCACAGAGAAGAAAGGAACTGAAAAATTGGAGTGCGGGTTGTGTGAGCACCACGTGCATGGGTGTGTGCACAAATAAAATTTTCGGACTTGCTGACACCCGCGCACGGTGGTGCGCACATACATGGACCTCCACATGTAGTGCACATGGGCATATGCATGTAATTTATGCTTTATTTAGAAGTTCCTAATTATGATCTTCACACCTCTATTTTTCATAGAGTTTAGCTTGGGAACAACATAATTTGGAGTATCATCTATTATGTCATTCTTTTGAGTAGTTTACTCTGACAATTCTATAGTTCTTTCAATTATGTACTGTGAGTAATTCTATATATTCATATAATTTGTTTTGTGAATTATTAATTGTTACTCGTATCATTTATAATATGTAATGGCTTCTATAGCTATATTGACATGTAGATTAATTTTAAAAAGATCTAAATTATTTTTGGATATATAGTTTGACACGCACAATATATCCCAATTTAGACGTTACGCCCCTACAAACCGATCTAACTCTTGTTCTACATTCTTGGCCTCGATGTAGGGGTGTATGCTCACTTGTTTGGTAATGATATAGAAATATGCTACTGAGAGATTAGTACTAGTATTGTTTTTAAGATCATTATATTATATTCTACGTCGCGAGGGAAGCAAGAAGTCAATTTTGATCGATTATTCCAAAATTCTTCCAAATTCAGTTTTGTTTCAAAGGATAAGATTCACATTGGCATCCCTGAAACATGGTATATTCTAAAGATTTAAAATGAATTAATATACATGTTTAGCGAAACGAAGTGCACTTTTTTAGAAATACAATAGGTAATTGATTCCCTTATCTTGAACAAATTTAGGAATCTACGTCCATATATAACTCAATAAGTATAAGTAAATAGATATTAAGTCCCAATTTCCCTGATATATATATATATATATATATATATATATATATATATATATATATATATATATATAGAGAGAGAGAGAGAGAGTACTCTTCCGGTCAGGTATACCTGACCGGAGCCCCGTCCGGCCTCCTCCATTTGGGGGCCTTCCCGGTGGTATTTTTTGCTCAAATTTTTTGTGTAGGTTCCTCATCAAGTCTAGTTCATCCATACCAACTTTCAGCCAAAATTTCAATCGGGAATGTCGTCAAATGATTTTTGCAAGTTAACTGGTCCGGAAAATACATATTCCGGACCAGTTAACTTGCAAAAATCATTTGACGACCTTCCCGATTGAATTTTTGGCTGAAATTTGGTATGAATGAACTAGACTTGATGAGGAACCTACACAAAAAATTTGAGCAAAAAATACCACCGGGAAGACCCCCAAATGGAGGAGGCCGGACGGGGGGAGTGGTCCGGCCTGGCCGGACCTGAATAGTTGTGTGTGTGTGTGTGTGTGTGTGTGTGTGTGTGTGTGTGTGTGTGTGTGTGTGTGTGTGTGTGTATATATAGGGAACTCTTCCGGTAAGGTATACCTTACCGGAGCCTCTGTGCGGCCTCCACGTTTTGAGGGCCTTCCCGGTGAAATTTTTCGATGAAATTTTTTGAACATGTTCTTCATCAAATCTAGTACATCCATACCAAATTTCAGCAAAACATTCAATCGGGAAGGCAGTCAAACGATTTTTGGAAGATAACTGCACTTTTTATATACATATAAAACGCAATTATCTTCCAAAAATCGTTTGTCTGCCTTCCCGGTTGAATATTTGGCTGAAATTTGGTATGTATGTACTAGACTTGATGACGAACATGCTCAAAAAATTCCATCCAAAAATTCCACCGGGAAGGCCCTCAAAACGTGGAGGCCGCACGGCGGCTCCGGTAAGGTATACCTTACCGGAAAGATTTCCTATATATATGCGCCTTTCAATTTGTATACCATTTTGTCATTTAATTGTTTAATTACATTTTATAAGTCATATTTTTGTAAATCATTTTTATTTTGGTTATATTTATGTAATTATTTCTTTTTAACTTCATGTATTCAAAATTGTTGGAAAATCATTTGGCATTTCATTCCCCATTTATGCTCCTATGGAGACTTATATTCATTATACCTATTTTAAATGCGAAAAATGCACATCGATTTTTGACATCGTTAGAGACAATGTTGGTTTTAAGTCTTAGTTTCTTTTTATCGAGACATTTTTATTTATCTATTTTTAGTCATTTTTTCCTATACGGGATTGTATTTTCTAACCCTTCAACTTCGAAATTTAGAGCAAACACTTTCAAAAGGGGCCAGAATTCCTGGTCCCTCTCAAGTCTCGGTCTTTACCTATAACCATACTTACTCTCATACTCCACAAAACTTTATCTCACATTCTCACTCATAAGATGAACATTTTACTATTGGTTCTAAAGTAACGTAATGCTTAGCAAATTGTTGCCTCGTCCTAATATGATTTCAATTGCAGAAGACCAGAAACTCTTAAACGTAAAATTCATTTCAAAATGACTTTTGTATGTTTACAAGTACAGTTACACGTGTAAGGGGGCTTAATTAGATACATGTTGGAATCTATGATGGGCAAATAGTCCATGTATCAATTGAATGAACTATAATCCATACCCGAGTTTTTGTCAAACTGTTACTTAAATTTGTTTTTAATGACATAATTGAACACATAACCTCTGTCAATATGGGAGGCGAGCAAGGTGGTTGACCGCCTTCTTCGCCCAATCATACCAAAATAAAGGCAAAAAACAGCCAACAAGGCATCTCCCACTCAAAACCTCATTTGATAAATTGGGTATACGTGTCGGTGGACGTAGTTCAACTGTTAGATAGGGGGTGCCACAAGGGGTAAATCTTGGGTTCGAATCCCGGTAACTGCAGTGAGAGATTATATGCCTAAAAATAGGGCCTCTACAAGTACCAGGGCCAGATCCAACTCTCTATCTGTCAGCTTGTAATTAAAGTTCAACTTACATCTTCCCAACGAACTGTCTGAAAGGTGTTGGGGGCACTCAAGGATGGGGTGTCATCTTTTTTTTTTGACAAAATGGGTATACGTATTGAATCCTTCTGTCACAAAGAAAAAATTGACCACATAATGAGTATAGAATGATGATCCATCCTTGCTGTTTTTTGAATAATTAGAGAAATCTCCACGGGTACTCAATGGTACGCTAGGTCTGTCAATGAGTCGGGTCTGGATTGGAACATAACGTTCTAGACCCGAATCCGCTAAGTTAATAATGACTCGGACCCGTCTCGTTTACCTGGCAAGTCTGAAAATTTGAACTCAGATCCGGACCTAACGAGTCACGGAACCGGGTCGGGTAGACCAGCCGGGTATGATATGCACAATGTTATAGATTTTGTGAAAATAACAAGACCTATATATGACATATAAAGCAAAGTACCCAAACTTAAAAACAAAATACATCTTCACTTTTCAAAAAAAAACTCAAGGTCTCTTATAGAAAATTAGTACTTCTATCCAATAAAGTATTGGTTCTTGTAACTGCACACTCTGTGTCGCTTTCTCTCGCACATAGAGCTCGTAGAATGAACTAGAAATTAAGTCACAAAAGGTCTATTGGACTACTGAGAGTATAAAATATTGTGCTTTGCCTGTCGAGCCCAATACACATTTATCAGTATGTATAAACGGTCAAAATGAATATAAGTTTTTAGGGTATCTCACTAACTCCATCAGTATCATCTATATAGTAGATATGTATTAGTGTGTGTATTTTTAATTGAAGAAGGCTAAAGGGTCAAATAGGTACATGAACTAACTTAAAGTGTTCAATTAGCCCCTTATATAGGAGGTTCTGCCCGGCCGTCGCCAATTGGGGCGGTTCCCGGTGGAATTTTTTGATGAAATTTTTTGAGCATCTTCTTCATTAAGTCTAGTTTACCCATACCAAATTTCAGCTAAAAATTCAACCTGGAAGGCAGTCAAATGAGTTTTTGAAGATAACTGTGAAGTTAAACAGCGCAGTACATTTCGTAAAATCATTTGACTGCCTTCCCGGTTGAATTTTTAGCTTAAATTTGGTATGGGTAAACTAGACTTAATGAAGAATATGCTCAAAAAATTTCATCAACAAATTCCATCGGGAACCGCCCCAATTGGCGACGCCCGGGCAGAACCTCCTATATAAGGGGCTAATTGAACACTTTAAGTTAGTTCATGTACCTATTTGACCCTTTAGCCATTGAAGAATTATAACTAATAACTTTATGTATTATTATGTATTTATATGTGTGTTTATATTAGTTTGAATTTTTTTATTTGAAGTGTTATAAATAATCACTTTATGTATTAGTGTGTGTACAAATAAGAAATTTTAAACGGGTCTGGGTCTTAAACAGGTCGGAATCGTATGTACCGTATCCGACTCATTTATTAAATATAATAACGCGTTAGAATCCGGACTAGGTAAACGGAATAAAATATATACATGTAGCCGTTACAAACAACCGGGTCCAGGTCAGGTCCGAGTCTAGACCTGACCCATTGACAGGCCTACAAGTCGGAATATAAGGGCGTCTAGACCCGACCCATTGACAGGCCTACAAATCAGAATATAATTAAGGGCGTCTAAGATGGACGATTCTACCATATTTACTCCTCCACAATTCTATGTGATCAGGATGTTAGGGTGTTTGAGATGAACGATTCTACCTTTTTGGGTTTGAATATTTAGACGATTACAATTGGATGGATACTCACAAGTCACATATGAGTGGATAAATAATTGAATGTCAAGCCATTTCATGATGCGATCCACTTTGTGTGATGTAGAATAGAAATCCTTTTAATTAATTGACATGTGGCACATTTCACACGCACTAGGAAGTTTGCCATTGGGGTTGCTCATGATGCGATCTAAGTTTTAGATGAAAAATTAAAATTAATTAATGTTCAGTCCACATCCAGTCTTTACTTCTTTTGTTTTTTCCCTTCTCCTCCTCTCACTTCACTCTGGTCTTCTGTCTTCTTCTTTAATTAAATCAGTTGCTAATCTTGACTTTGTTGTTTGGACACCCATGCATTAAAATGACACTGAAAACCAATGACTGGAAATTGTACAATCAAAATGGAAGCCTAAAAGTATGAGATAAATTAATACGAATATTATTGATATTCAGCCTCTCCACTTGAAATCTTGAACGAAATATTATTGAGTGTTTATGAAATTCTAAAAATCTGGGTTCTAAAAGGGACAATAGTAGCGAAATTAAGAAAGTGATTTGCGGGGTGTTAAATGATTAGCCAGCCATTACATTATCCGCAACATTGGAGACGACACTAATCCTTGAAACGATGGGAAATGGCGAAATAACTTCAGGCCTTAAAATCCTTTTTTTTTGGAAAAATTCCAGGCCTTAAAATCCTATAACAGAGATTTTAGATACTTAAATTAGGCTTATTTCTAAAGGGAGAAAAAACTTAGCGGGGTTTACAAGATGATTGTCATGTTATTTGGAAAATAACAAAGTCAAAGTAAATCATAAAGCTCAAAAGTAATGAGACATAAAATTAGATATCCAAATACAACACTCTAATTTGATTATCTTGCAATGGCGTAGACTATGCTTGCATATTGACTATAATAAATATAATAGATAAACGACCTGATTTTATATTACGATAGCAAAAAAACATACATCTAGACTTGACCATCTACTAAAAAGGAACTTCAAAAGTTGTCGGTATTATCGGCCATCCATAAGGAGCCAATTGTAAGCCCAATCCTGGTTACACCAGCCACCTCAAAGAGAATAAATCATGTCATCTCATCTTCCTGGCATGCTTGTGATTCGGAGGCTATTGTAATATGAGCACAAAAGAACACTTGCTAGATGCACAATTGATCACCATAAATTGTGTTTCACGAATAGAAAATCGAATCTCCAATAAAAAATGATGGAGAATAATCAATCAAGTTGCAGGTGTCACCTCCTGGAGATCAATCAAGTTGTGAGGCATGAGCCATCACATCGGTGTCCTGAAAATTCTCATCTAAGGTTCAAACTCTTTTTTCTTAGTGACCAGAAAAGGAATTCAATTTTTGTATTTTGTAAAAAAAAAAGTGAATGACTCCATGTAGATGATTGACTTGTTATATGTGGGATGTATATCATATTTAATTGATAAGATAATAATACAAACTAACCCAATATCACATGAGATCAAGTAGTCAAGGTGAAAACTACCACAGTCAGAGTGAGCAATAAGCTAGCAACTCAAGATCTATTTCTCATATATGACATTGTGATCATGGAGGCCCAAGTGTTGACCTCAGTGATGGTCAGGCTCCGCCGATGTCAGGTAATCAGATTCTAATGTATGAGATATTCTTGAGTTATAAAAAAAATTATAAAAATGTTACTTGTACATGTCTGCTAACACGCCCGTTTACGCGTCAAGTGTATTTTGTCTATGCACAGACAATTGATTTTTAGTTTAGTAAAGGAAATTGTGTGTGACCCTGACATGTACGAGTAATATTTTTGGAAAAACTAACCCACTAGACAACTATTATGATATACCTTAAGAATAGGAGAGGACACACCAATAAAGTGGTGTCTGTTGTATATCTAGTGCATGGAGTTGTGAAATACTAAGGGCCTGTTTACTAACAGAGATATTTTCCTGTTTTCTACTTCTGTTTTTCGTTCTCCAATTTTATGTTTTTATTTTTCAGTTTTTCTATCTCCAATTTTCTATTTCTATTTTTTAGTTTTCCATTTTCAAATTTGAAAACATGTTCATCAATTTTTTCACACAGTTCTCCAATTCCACACCCTTGACCCCTACATTCTACCCATACTCCACCACAACCCTTCATACCCACCCATACCTACTCGTAGGGGTCGGGTAGGGAAGTTATGGGTGGGTGTGGGGTAAGGGGTATGGTCGGGGTGGGGTGGTAAGGTCTAGGGGTAGGGGTTGGGTGGGGGTAGTGGGTGGGTTAGGGTCGTGGTTAGGGTTAAGGGTGGGTAGTGGGTAGGGTTGGGGTAAGGTAAGGGTAGGGTAGGGAATTGGGATAGGATGGCGACAGGGTGGGGTCGGGACCAGGGTGGGGCCGGGGTAGGGAAGGGGTAGGGTGGGGGTGGGATGGCGGTAAGGGTGGGGGTAGTGGGTGGGGTTTGGGGTTGGGGTAAGGAAGGGGTAGGGTAGGGAGTTGGGATAGGATGGCGGTAGGGTGGGGTCGGGACCAGGGTGGGGCTGGGGTAGGGAAGGGGTAAGATGGCGGTGGGGGTAGGATGGCGGTAAGGGTGGGGGGTAGTGGGTAGGGTTTGGGGTTGGGGTAAGGTAGGGGTAGGATAGGGAGTTGGGATAGGATGGCGGTAGGGTGGGCCCGGGATCCGGGTGGGGCCGAGGTAGGGTGGGGGTAGGATGGCAGTACGGGGGTGGGGGTAGGATGGCGGTGGGGTGGGGCTGAGGTAGGAGGCATGTGGTAAGGGGTAAGGTAGGGGTAAGTGGTAATATACGAGGGGTGGGGGTAGGGTAGGGTGGGTCGGGGTGGGGCCGGGGTGGGGTCGGGGTGGTAGGGGTTGGCGGTAGGGTAGGGTGGATCGAGGTGGGGTCGAGGTGATAGGGGGTGGCGGTAGGGTAGGGTGGATCGGGGTGGGGCCGAGGTCGGGGCATGTGGTTGGGGGTGGGGTAAGGTCATTATAGGGAAAAATGGGTACGCGGGGTGGGGGTTGGGTGGGTAGGGTAGGGGTAAGGGGTAAGGTACGAGGATGGAGGTACCAGAATGAAATCGACATCGGAGCGGGACCGGACCCACCACTAGGTGTAAGTATGCAAATTCATTGCAAAGGCACTGTAGCATCTGCGTTTTCCAAATTTGGAAAACTAGTAAAAGTCATTTCTCCAAATCATTAAAGAAAAGAGAGACATGTTTCATTTTTTTCGTTTTGGAAAACGATTTGGTAAACGCGTTTTTCTTTTTTCCTTTCTCCAGTTTTCCAGGAATTTCTTTGGTAAACACGTTTCCTGTTTTCTGTTTTCTAGTTTTCCAGTTTTCTGGAAAACTGAAAAATATTTCTGTTAGTAAACAGGCCCTAAGTATTACATATAAAAATTATGCAACGGAGTTGTAAATTTGGTCATTTGGAAACCAAATCACTACTGTAGACTCTGTAGATTCATAAACATACAGTTTTGAATTATTTTTGCCTGTTTGCACAAGTGAGAAGCTTGTGAAGTTGTGATAGTAAGTAGTTCGTGTTTACTTTTATTTTATTTATGAGAAGTGATTAGTTTTAGAGATAATATAAAAATTTAGTACTCCGTAGAAAAATATAGTATTGTTTGATAAGAAAAAAGATTTTGAAAAAGCAAAATTAGAATATTTGGTAAAATGGTAATTTCAACTTAAAAATGGGAATCGCCCACTCTAAGTGCCCCTTGTACGGCTGTCCCCACACATGGACCTGAAAGAAGGGTGTAAGTAAATCACGATATAATCTCAAATGATTTCTAAACATCTAATTCAGGTCAAGTCTGATACGTCCTAGGAGCTATCACATTAAATGAAATTCTGCTGTTGACAGCTATCAACTTCACATACTTCCATCAACAATGGAAAGTATGTGGAGTTATCGGTGGGCGTAGCTCAACTGGTAGCGAGGGAGTGCCAGAAGGGTTAGGTCCCGAGTTCGAATCCCGGCAACTGCGATGAGAGGTTACGATGCTAAAAATGCATAGGGCTTCTGCAAGTACCGGGGACGGAACCCCACTCTCTATCTGTCAAATCGTGATTATAGTCCAATTTACATCCTCTCATCGTGCCGTCTGGTCGATGTTGGAGACCCCTCAGGGATGAGGTGTCATCCTTTTTTTGGAAAGTAAGTGGAGTGAAAACTTTAAACTATTAGTGTGTAATTTTTTAAGGCTAAAATTTTAAAACTAAGAAGTGAATTTTTTTAATGAAAAACGCTCCCTAATTCAATTCACACCAGATATTTTGGACCACCATTTTTTTTGACTAAAAACGCTTCTCTTCTTATTGTGGTGTACATTTCGTAATTATCCGGAACCAGGGGGGCTGATTGCAATCAATGTTACGTGACCGTAAAGGGAAGATACCCAAAAAAACAGCACAAAACTGTTAGTTGCATTTAACCTTCGACCCCACAAGACTTTTCTCTCACTACCTTAACCCCCCAAAAATGGCAAAGTTTTATATAGCGCCCCCAACCCCGCCTAAACTTCTCCCCCTCCTTCACTAAGCGTAATTGATACTCAAACTGATCTCCCTATCATCAAATTGCGCTTCTCCACGCTGTAATTCACATCCCTTCTCAACAATGCCGATTCTTTGAAGCTGTAAATTTACTCGACTGTAATTATAAATCGCAGCTTACAAATTGCTCCCCCGCCCCCTGAATCGTCGTGTAGCGGGACACGATTATGAAATGTGAGGTTGATTTGAGCTGAGCGTTGGAGCACCCGGAGCTGGGTTTTCGATTTTGAATTCGCGAAGACAAACGACGACGTATTCTCTGTGGGTTTGGGAAGGAGGGGAAGGTTTTGAGTGTGTGTATTTGGAGGGTTGGTTATGTAGATTGGGTGAGGGAGGGTTTGGGAACCTGACAATGGGAAGTCTTAGGAGCTCGGTGATGGTGGATAAGGAAGAGGAGCTCGTGATGTTCAATGAAATGCGGAGGCGAGAGAAGGAACAGGACAATCTTCTTCTTCTCCAGAAACCAGATGACTTTGATGATCTTCTTGGTATTGAAAGATTTTTCCGTTTCATTTCTGTGTTTATTAGTGATTTAGAGGTTGTGTTAGGATTTGGGTATGCATTTCTTCGTTTGATAGTTTTTTGCTTCTTTTTTGTTTAATTCTTCATTCATCATCTTCAACTGAATTTGTTTTTTAGTATCAAGTGCGTATGTCTGTTTGAATAGATATTTGATTTTTTGTCCAAATGTATGGTTCTTACTCATAAGTACTGGTATTAAAGTTATGCCAAAAAAGTCCTGCATTTTCACTAGCTTGCTCTTATCTTCTGCAAACTGGAATTTTGAGCATTCTTTTTTGTTGCAATTCCTCTTTCCTGCAGGTTCTAAGGATCTGAATTCTTCTTTTCTTAATGACGGGGCATACATGCCCGCCCAAAAGACGGTTTCGGATGAACTTCTAAATTCTGATAATGATAAAAACGACTATGATTGGTAATTCCTTGGTGTTTGTCATTGTTTGCCCATAATGTATATGATCGTGGCTGTTTTTTGGTGGCTTATATCATGTATTGCTTGGGTAGGTTGATATCCAACATCATGATCTTTTGTGTGTTGAGATGTCAAAATCAAGTTTCCTTTACTTGATATCTTCTTGTTTAACCTTATTGTTCTGCGCAACTGTTACTCAATTTTATTACAAACTATAATGCAATAACTTAAGAGCTAGTCAGCTAAGAGTCTGTTTGGGAATGATTAGTGATTTTATAGGGAGTACTTTCTCATTTAAGCATTTAAAAATCCCTATTCTGGTGCCCTCTTTAATAAACATGAGAAAACGATTTTCTAATAATTAAAATCATTTCATTTCCTTGCAAATACTTTATTTTAAGCAACAGTACTCCCCCCATAAAAATGCTTCATTTTTCAAAATAAGTCATCCAAACGCACTTCAAGTTTTTATTGTATCATACTTCATATTGACCAATTGTTTCATGCAAATCCTATATTTATATGCTACCATCAAACTATTATCAGGCAAAACATATATTATGTTTCAGGCTAATATCACCACCTGGCACTCCTCTTTTCCCTTCACTGGAGATGGAGTCCCAGAAAACAGTGATGAGTCAGTTGGGAACCTTGAAAGCACGACCAACTGCATTGAAATCCAGAGTGAGAAGCTTTTAATGTTTACTTGATTTTTGTAACAATCCTGTTTACTATCTTTTCTGGTACATTATTAGGGTTGTCATCATATCACCAGCCATACCTCCATTTTTAAGACCTAATGACAAAAAATGCAACCTTTGTGCGAATTTTCGATTGGTGCAAAGTATTATAAAAATCCAATTTAGCCACGATATGTGTGGCTAAATTGATTTTTTAAGGTTTGGATAAAATGCAATTCCGTGCAAAGGTTGTGGTTTTTGGGCCTTACCGTCTTACGCCTTCTCTTATTATAAATGGGGTACTCGTGAATTTGAGAAACAGCTACTATCAGGGAGGGCTTACCTTATATGCCTGCATATCTTTAAGTGATTAAACTTTTTAAAAGATTTGATGACATCCTTTATTTTCCTAGGGAAAAAATACATCTTGTCTTTTTAGAGGTGAAAAAAAGATTGGTTGATTTTCACAAAATGTCCAAAACATTCAATATGCAAACTATTACACTTAAAGAGTCAATTAGTCAAAACACAACAATCTCTAAGGCTACTGGAACTCAGAGAATGGCAGAAAGAAATGCAAAACAAAAGGATACTAATTTATTATGTTTGTTTTACCTTAGCAAATACAAGGGAAATGAAAATTGATCGACGCTTCTAAAACTTTGCATATATTCTAATTTGCTTAGTGTTTACGTCGTACGTAGTATATAATAGAAAAAAAAATAAACAAACGGACTCTAGAGGTCTCAAGTTTTTGTGAAAAAAGTTATGCTTATTTTTTAACTGGTCAAAGTTTTAACTTATGATTTACTAACTGCCTTAGTGTTAACATTCACAAGAATCTATATATTGATTTTGACCTGTAATTTCATTACCATGTTTGCAGCTAGCAAATCCGCCTGGACCCACAGTTGGGAACAACCTGACATTGAGACATCCACCCTCTTCATCTCCAGGGTTGAACACTTCAATACCGAGTTTTAGAAGACCTTCATCTCCAGGTGGCTCTAGACCTTTATCATCCACTAACCGACCCACACAGACTACATCAACTAAACCACAATTGAACAACACAGTATCCAAAACATCAACTTCAACAAAGTCGTCCAGGGCTGTAACACCTACTCGTGGCCTGCCGTCACCTTCTACTAAGCCCATGGTTAATCCCAGATCTTCTATACCAACAAGGCAGCCCATTCCCGGATCAAAGCCCACTTCCAGGTATAGGTGTAAACAAATCAAATAAAATATCCACATTTGAATTTGGATGTATTTTATGATACTCGTTTTCGTTTAAGGTCTGGATATATCGATATGATTTGAATTTTCAAATCTGAAATGCTTATAATAAGTGTTAGTGTGTGCAGTGGTGTGTCAATGTGTCTTTATACATACACATATGAAGCGGGTTTAATTGAGTGCCACTTCATGTCTCCATGTGAAGTATTCCCCCCCTCCTGTTTTGTGTGTCTTACTTTCCATTTTGGATTGTCCCAGAATAAAAATCTTGCTTCCTTTTATGGCCAGTAATATGTGGTTCATATCATTTCACTCTTATTATTAAAACTTCAACCACAAGTTTTACTTTTCAACTATTTTATTAATTAAATCTGCCAAACCAAAAGAAGACATACAAAATAGGACGGAGGTAATACTACCTCCGTCCCTTAAAACTTTGCCAAAGTTGACCGGCACGGAGAATAATAAAGTAAAAACTGTGTGGTTGAGATTTGTGCAGAGGAGAGCGAAATAACAGAAACCACAAAATAATTGATTAAAAGGGAAAGTGGCAAAGTTTTTTGGAACGTCCCAAAAAGGAAAGATGACAAAGTTTTAAGGAGGGAGGGAGTACTTCTTTACTAACTCACAATTAAATGTGGAATGATTTTAGTGCAGACTTGAAATGAGCAATAGAATCATAACTGTTTGATGTTGAATACTTGAATGTAAAGTTTCAAAACCATGAATTGGTACCTTTTTTGTTGTACTTATTAAAACAACACCACACACACACTCCCTTGTACATATATATATGTGTATACATCTATATATGTGTGTGTTTATTTATTTGTGTTTTTTAATATTGTTCGATTAGAACTGATTAATATTTTTGCCTGAAAAGTATTCAAATAGAAATATACATTATTACATTCCTGTTTGGGTTACTTGAGCTCTAATTGTGATATTTGGATTTCATGAATTATACCAAAATTATTTTGATTTTTTACAACTGACATCCAGGGCAGCAACTCCTACTCGACAGCCATCTTCTTCTTCCATAGCCTCCAAGTCTTCTACTGCTGCAAGTCCTGCTACAAAAAAAAATGCACCACAATCTGCTGGTTCTCCATCTGTTAAACCAAAACCATGGAAACCTTCAGATATTCCAGGTTTGTCTCTCAATGCCCCAGCAAATTTGATGACATCAATACCACCAGATAGGCCTCCTGTGAGTCGGGGAAGACCTGGTATACCCGGACCCCGCTCATCATCTGTGGAGTCTGTTGGGAATGGAAGGGTTAGAAGACAATCATGCTCGCCAGCAAGAGGGCGCCCTCCCAATAGAACAATAGCTAATGGCAGTGGGAGCTCTGTACCTATCCCAGCTATGAGCCGATTGCATGCTAAAGCTAATCACAATGTGAGTCCGGTTTTGGTTGGAGCAAAGATGGTTGAAAGAGTGGTCAACATGAGGAAATTGGTTCCGCCAAGACAAGATGAAAAACAATCCCCAAATAGTAATATATCTGCCAAGTCTTCATCGCCCAAGAGCTTAGGATTTGGGAGGAATCTTTCAAAGAAGTCTTTGGATATGGCCATAAGACACATGGTATGTGATTCTTTTTTATATTCAAATTTTCTAACCAAAGGACAGTCCTCCCACACATGAAGAGGATGTCCTGTGTGATACCATCATCTAAAAAAACATTACCCCATTGCCGCAAAGGCTCCCACCTATGGTGGGTAAGGGGGGATTTGAATGTACTCAGCCTTACCCATGTACTAAAGGACAGAGAGACTGTTTCCAGATGACCCATGTGACTCCATCATCTGATGCTAACAAATTGACAGGATGGGATGTACTGATGTTTTAAAATAAGTCATGGATGGTCAGATATTGATTATGCTTCCCCCATAGGACGTCCTCTCCATGGGCGGAACTGTGGAAGGGTGTTCCTTTACTCAGAAACCTAGAATGCATGTTACTCGCATTATGTCACATTTTTGTGTATTTCCAAAAAATAGGTACTTTCCATAGTCACATTACAAGAACATTTCTTGCTCTACAAAAAGTCAACCTTATGTCATAACTAATTGTCAAGTCAGATTCCTGAACAGCCATGCAGCTAGCAATTTTTGTCAATTACCAGTTACCACAAACAATCTTGAAAATAACCCTTGAGGGTAGGGGGTAAAAAGCTTGCACCTCGATTGTGTTGAATAAAAACAAAAAACTGCATCTTACTCAAGCAAGAACAATTTTTCAAATGAAAGGAGTACCACTTGAAAATTCCTTATATTCAACAACACGTGATGGCATTTATGGGGGTGACATTATTATTTACCTCACATTAAAGTTTCACATTCCATACATTGTGATAAAAAAATGCATTTCATCCTGATATATCCAAGTGATAAACATAAATGGAACTTGGGATTTTCCATTTTTCTAATCCTTCATGAATTTCGGTTTTGACAATCAGGATATAAGACGAGCAGTTCCTAGCAATCTAAGACCATCGATGGCCAATATTTCTGCTTCATCTAGGCATAGTTTGAGGACGGAGCCCAGCGGTACAAACAGGTCAGTGACCATATCTGGCTCACCTCACGCAATGAGCAGCAATGCTAGTTCTGAAGTGAGTGTTAACAATGCACCTTGTCGTGATGCAAATGAAGTCGATGGTGATGATATTAGCAGCTATAAAGTCGCTCAGTTTAGTGATTCAAGGTAGGTGTGGTCACGCTTCTGCTAAATGAACCAATTATGGGAGTGGATCCAAAGTGGATGTGTTGGTTAGATGTAGTAATTGGAACTTGAAAGGAAGCCTTTGTATCATAATTTATACAGAAACTGAGCTGTGGTACCTTTTAGTTCATATGATTGTTGAAACTTTCGGTTTTTCTTCTGCAAAGCAAAGTGAAGTCGAATGTGTGAGGTTGCTTCCTGCTTTTGGCACCTGCAAAAGAGGCTTTGAAATTGATGCTTAGAGTATGTTTATTAGTTGTCAGCTTTTCTCCAAATGGTCTAATTGACATCCAAATGGTAATTTTTTAATCAATTTAAAAAATTCGTTGATGGCTTTACCGATTCTCACTTTCAAGAAGTGCTACAATATAGGGCTTCTTGATGGTTGAATTGTCATCCTAGTGTCAGTGGCAGCAGTGATTGTTCCTTCTTTATTAGGGCATGCAAGAAGTGCTACAATAAGGGGCTTCTTGATTTTGAAGGTCCATTATTGTAATTATAATCCATATAATATATCAGATGTTCTTTATTTGAATTTTTCCTATTTAGTTAGCAATCTTTCCTTGGTTATCCCAAAATACTTGGCCACTTTTCATTTTTGGTAGTAAATAAAAATGCAATGACAAATTTAACCTTATTGAAGTGTCATTTCCCTGAATAATTCTTACACGCTCACATGTCATTTCCCTTTCACTTATTGTCTTACACAACCTCCCTTTCTTTTACCATCTCTCTTCCTTTCTCTAACCATCTCTCCCCATTGAAAACCCTATTGCCATGAATTATGGGGACATGTTCACTGTCATCCTTGAGACTCCACTAATGGGAGATGACACTAAGGCATTTCCCGGTGACGATAGTCTCCAAAGAGGATGAAGGTATTCACACGAATTTGGCCGAAGAAGAGGACGGAAGAGCAATCGGCGATGTCATAAGAGTGCACTCAAACCTTTTATGTTTTCTCAACAAGTTGTAGAACAAGTGACACTTGTTCGGCGATTTTGAAATAAAGCACTTTTGGGGCGCTACCCTTCTTGTCACTTTTGGCACGTCTTTAATTGATTCTGGCGATTTGATCCGGACTTGCTTCGATTCCACTCACTGTATCCTAGAAGTTCTCCAAAGGAAACCCCAAAGGTGCATTTTCCCTGGCTTGAGCTTCATATTGTATTCTCTCGAGATATGAAACGAGGTCGTCAAGTGCTTGACATGATTGACTCCCAATTTTGACTTGTCGAGCATATCATCGATGTATACTTCCATTGTTTTGTTAATGTATTCTTCTACATTTTTAAGACCAAGAGGCATAACATTATAATAGTATGCACATGTCTCAATGACGAACGTTGTTTTCGATTAGTCATAAGGATGTAGAAGAATTTGATTATTGTCGTTGAATGCGCCCATAAACAATAGAACTTCGTATCCAGTAGTTGCGTCAGCTAAAGCATTAATGAGGCATAGGAAAAGAAACCTTTGGACATGCTTTGTTTAGATCTATGAAATCAAAACATATCCACCACTTTACTTTTTCCCTTTTTTCTTCTTCTTTCGGACAACAACCAAGTTAGCTAGCCACTCGGAGTACATGATTTCATGGGTTTTACTGATCTTGAGAAGTTGGATAATCTCATCTCTTTCTAGGGCGAACTTCCTTCCCTTTTTTCACACTTATTGGATGGATCAGTATTGAGTTTATGGGTTATTATTTTGGGATCGATCCAAGTCAGATCTTCGTGGTTCCATGTTTAGCCATCTTTTTAAGTCTTCTTCAATCATTCTGTCTTTTTCATCTTCTAAATTAATCCACATCGCCCTCTAATTGTTAATGTTTGCAAAGAAATCTTTCAATTTCTAAATCTTTCTATCGTACTTTCAATAATTCTAAAATCAATACGATAGTATATTATTGCAACTATTTTTTTGGATTTATCCTAAATTTCCATCATATTATTTCATTATCTTTCCATCTGTTGAGATATATTATCCTGGTCCGTTATTGTTCAGGAACCCAAGACTGTACGTAGTACGGAGCCCGATCAGTGAGGCCCGTTTTAGCTTATTAGGCCTATTACGGCCTTCGGGCCCTTTTCGGCCCACTTGCCCCATTAGTGTAGGTTTTCCCCTACTCCCTTTCCCCTATAAATATGGGGTTTTCCCACATGTTTAGGGATCTTTTCCCTTCTTCCTCACTTCTCCTCTCTAGAGTAGATTAGCTGATTTTATCCTCCATTAATGAGCTTCAATACATGTACTTTGTAATGGTGAGGAGCATCCTAATGAGAAAAAGAGGACTTAGACATTTTAGCCTAAAAAGTCGTGTGGTTTTCTCCCTTTCGGATTTCCATGTAAAAAGAGCTTGTCCATACATATTTATACATATATTTACTATATCATGTTGGATTAAACACCAACATCATCATATACTCAATGATTCATATATTCTTTCTCTGTTCTTAGTCCACCTACTTTTAAAATAGAAAAGTTTTAAAGTTACGGAGGAAGTAAAAGTTACAATCGTACAAAATATGATTGAAGTTAAGTAAAATGAAGTGAAATAATATGGTTCACAAATTTCTTACATTACACAAGAAACTTGGTAATTAAATCAATCCCCTACTCCAAGACCACAATTCACCACCCAAGAAACTGGGTGGTTATATTAATCCCCTCCTCTAACTAGACCTGATCACCTGAATACACAAATGGTTGACTATAACAAATTCTATTCCGCACATGACAATAGAGACCATGAATTCCATGGCTTCCAACTACGGGAGATGCAGGCGAAGATCAATGGAAGTCTGTTCGGAACCTTCAAAAGATGTCTAAGCAAAGACATTGACATTTATCCATTGGGAAGTAGACTTGCGATCTTGACATGAACATTACGATTATGAGATAGAGACAATCGAGTTGTCGCATCAATGACAGACTGATTGGACAACCTCAATCTGCTTCCCGTCATAACTCAGTCGGCCGGATCCCATCAAACGATGCAAGTTTTATGATGATGTTGAACATAACACGGAGGAATGTGTAACCTTAAGAATGGAGGTGGCCTATCTACTCTGAAACGACTACCTCACGAAAATTGTAACAATGAACAAAGCAAGTCCTTCTGATGGCACCAGTGGCGGAAGTTGAAGAGCTATGGATTCACGAAAACGATTATACGATTTTTGACATTATTTAACCCCTCAACATACTAGCAGTACATACAGTTCCATTCGTTCAACAATTGATAACCAGTATCCTATACAATCGATACATAATCTTTTCCGAAGAATAATTTACAAAGAGATATAAGAACAAATACAAATATAATCTAAACTACTTAGCCGCATAACATAGCTTGCACTTCATTTCGATAGCCGCCATCGGTCACACCACAATGTGGTCACGGGCATTCACATGCCTTATAATTGAAGTTGTTTCCATTGGATGCCTGGAAAAAGTATACGGAGTATTTGATACCCAAGTGTCATAAGCATAGCCCAAAAGGAGAGGGCAACACATTAGTGATAAATTTAAGGGGCGAAGATGTTTTAAAAGTGAAGCAATAACTCGGTATAAATTTGAAAAAAAAAACACTGCGTAATAAAACGAAAAAATGCACACAGAAATAGTGGAACAGAACGATTGAATTTGAATGCCCAAGGGAAGTAAAAAGAAGACATTTAAAATGCATACAATTTGTTTGCCTCAAAGTGACAATTCTTAAATTTCATCACTCATCTGATAATACGTGCAATTTGATATGCATCATAGGCAACAATGGTGATAAATTAATAATAAAAATATCATAAATTTCACCCTTGGATGGCGTCTGGAATTTTTTTTAAATGGTTTTCATTCTCTGTTCACGAAATTGACAAAAACCCATCATATTAATAAAGACAAACAAATAAAACAGCTAATTTATAGATAAATGAACCATAAAACAATTAGCAAGATGCATCAGAGAGATTCCCATCGACAAATCATCATCCTCTTTAAGAGTGCTGATGTCCCTGTCTGTGTGTCATCACTTGCACCAATTTTATTATCACGGAATAACAAGCAAATGATATAAAGAGTAAATTCAGTAAAAAACCTTTAAAATTATTAGTAAAAAAGCCTTGAAGCCTCAGGTTTATGTTATTTTCATTGGAAACATCTCAAAGTATATTTAATGCCATCACAGGCAACTCAAGGCACAACGCAGTTCATTAAAAATGGTCGTTGAAATCCAGTTCTATAGAAACATCGCGAATAAAATCAAAGATATGCCAATAAGAGGATTATGAAAGTAGATAAATTCAATTAAACATAACCTCCTATCAGTGTAACTATGACAAAACAAAGCATCATCGGAAAAGAAATCCGTAGCCATTAGGTAACATCATCATTTAGGAAATCATGTCAAAAAAATATAAACTTGAACTGATTTACATAGTATTTAGTCAAGCTAAGAATACATTTGGTATAGACCAAATATATATTCAAATCATAGGCTTGACCAATCACAATGTTGGCAACAGGGAAAAGAGAAGATCCACATTAAAGTACATCGCCTCGGCAAAGTTGCTCAGATATATTCAACATTACATGTATTTAAGATACTATATAGGATTAAATATCTTATTAACTATTCAATATGAAAGAGCATATCGGAACGAAACAAATGTTATTGCCTCAGAGGTAGTGACAATTCTTTTGGTGTCATCATCATATTATCTGATAATAAATATAATATGAAATGCATCATTGGCGATTGATAGTGATAAATTCTGCATTTTTAGAATAAACTTTAAGCCTACTAAATACATAGTGAAAGCTGGGAAACCAATTGGATTGAAAAAAGTCATGATGATTTATAATTTACCGTTTGTGTTGAAATCGGAAAACCCTTAAAAGCTACAACCACGTTGACAAATAGCATCAATGGCTGTTAAGCGTCAACTAAATCTGGGGTTTTAATTTGAAAAAAATATTAAGATAAATATGCAGAAATCAACTATTAAACACAATATTTAAGAGAAAACACATTTTACGGGGAATCACGAAGTATAGACGGATCAGAATATCTGGCTTGGAATTCTCTTTAAGAGAAAACACAAAGTGCGCTCAGTTATTTCAACTTCGTTCAACTGGGGAAATAGTCATCACGCCCGTCTCTATCAAATATGTCATTTGAAGACACAAGTAAATTTAAAATCAACGTAAATTTACACTATGAAAAACAACAAAAGCAATAGAAGTAAGATAGAACAGGATTGGAGAATATTGCGTCGTCTCAAACTGCACGGCAACAAACAAATGATGCCATCGCAATGAGTTAAACGCCGGCTAAAACAATAAAAAAACACGAGCACTCGGAATGAGTAGGAGGTTTTTATCATCACATATTCAGAATATGTTAATGTTCTTCATCGTGCTCGTCTTCAACCAACTGAATCCGAAATAGATCTTTTGAACAGAAAAAGCTATATAAAACGAAACTAAATAATAAAACATTCAATTTATATATACCGTCAGATAGATTGGATCACTGCATCACTGGATCAGACGACCGTCGTGAGAAAATTTATCCAAATTCATCACACGGCACCAGAAATTCAAACTACAACCTAAGATCTTGAACACCAAATTTACAGTACGCGGCCGTTGCTTTTACCTAGGGCTCCGAGCTCACACAAGCCAATCAGACGAGAGAAAGAAGAGGATATTCGGTGTGAAGGGTTGAGGGGACGAAGCAGAAATATATAGTGAAGTAAGATGAGTCAAGACCTAAAACAATAGTTACGGCTGGAATGCTAGGTTACATGGATGGATGGGCTGGTGCTTACTTATTGGGCACTAGATCGTGAAATGTGCATTTCAATTTATTGATTATGGCCCAAAATGTTCTAGCATGTATGGGAAGTGGGTCATCATATCCACAATTGCAAAATCAATATA